CCGGAGTGGGGAGAGCAGCTCGGCGCACGTCTCGCTTTGCCTGGTTCCCTCCTGCCCGCCGGGGCTTGGGCCCCAGGAATTAGTGAATCCTGCGGACCGAGGTGGGCGCCTCGTCTCTACACACGTCCCTTGGCATTGGAAAAGGTCCCGGAAAGGGCAGCAAAAATGCTGAGGGGTTTGGATCGGGTCCCACGTGGAGAGAGAGCAAAACGCCGGGGACTTTTCAGCTGAGAAAAGAGGAGCCTGAGGGGGCGCGGAGAGAGGCCCGTAAAGCCCTGACTGGCGTGGAGAGAGTGAATACGGGAAGGCGATTTCCTTGTTCCCGGAACATCAGAAGAGGGGTCACCCAATGGCATGAATGGCTGGCAGGTTTCAAACAAACCCAAGGAAGTCTGGTTCCGTGCCCTGCTGTCAATGGGAGCGAGAGCGCCCAGCTCCCCGGGGAGAAAACCGAATCCATCTGGCCTCAAGCGCCTTGCCCCCGATCCAACGGTCAGGGGCTTACGCCGGCTTGGAACCCAGCGGCCTCGGCTCCCCGCCCTGGACTAGACCCCCAAGAACTGAGACTAAACGCCAGGCCCCGTTTTCTAGTGATCAGCGATCGGCCCAGTTCCCTGCGCCTTGCCCACAGCCGTCCGGCCATCACTCCCACGGAGCTGGGGGCCGGCCTGGGGACCGTTTGAAACCATTGCCGGGGCCGGACCGTCAGCTGGCTCCATGCACCGGCAGGACGGGCAAAGCAAGCCGCCGGCGTTTGGGACACGGACGCAGGCCGTGGGGAAACGCGAGCTCGGCTGCCAGCCCCAACAGGGTTTTAGCCACGACAGAAAATCAAGGATTAGCTGCTGGCGGGCGCTCTCGGGGCTGAGATGCGCAGGAGCAGCAGCGTCTCAGTAAGAGCCCGGAAGACCCGACTTCTCTCCCGAGAGGCCCGCGGGTCTGGCAGGGAACCGAGCGCCGTCTGGGCCCAGGTGTAGTTGGGAGCAGCCGTTTCAGCTCAGCCCCGGGCCGGGGAGCTCTGGCGGATGGTCCCATCGAAGGCCCACGCCGGCCGCGGGGCTCTTACCTTAATGGTTTTGTCCGAGGAGCCGCTGAACAGCAAGTCTCCAATGGAGTAAACACACAGACACCAGACAGGGCCTTGGTGCCCGACGAAGGTCCCCTTGCACTTGAAGATCTGCTGCGGGTCGTACGCTGGGGAGCGAGAGGAGGCAGGGGAGGGTGAGGGGCCGTGACGCGAACCCTACCAGCTCGGGGCGGGGCAGGGAACTCAGAGGGGAGAGCGGCTGAATTGCACCGGCACGTTCTGAGTCAGCTGGTGTCTGCAGGCACCGTGCCCGCCCCGAAGGGATCTGGGCAGGCGGAGGGAGCGCGCCCGCGGGTACTCACATCCCAAGATGCCCATGTTGAGGCGGGCGTTGATGTGGGACAGTTCATCCTGCAAAACAAACCCCGCGGAGTCAGAAGCAGCGCCACTGACCACTCCGGAGCCCCGGCGCCAGCGCCCGGCGTCCCACCCAGCCTCCGACCCTGAGACCCCAGACAGCGCCCTCCGGGCAGTGCCGGCCTGGGGGGTCGTTCTCCGGCCACAGAACAGAGGCCTGGAAGCCCCTTGCCTACGGCCGCGTGCGCCGTCATTGCACGGGGAGCACACAACTACCCTCCCCCTGCGGGGGGCACAGGGCTCCGCACGGGTCTCCCCGGGATCAGGGCCGCACGCGGACACTCGTCTGTCTTCCAAAATGCACGATGAACCTTCCCCTCCGCCCCAAGCCAGCGCCGGGCAGGGCCAGGCAGCTCCGAGGAGCATCAACCCAAATCCACCAGGCCTGAGGACGCAGCAGGGGTCACTGGCCACGGGGCCGGGGCCCTGCCATCTCCAATGGGGCCGTTTTGCTGGCCGGGTCTGAGGCCGGCGGGCCCCGCGCTCACGGGGAGTGTGTGCTGCAGGAAGGCGAACTCCTCGCCGCCAGAATGGGCTGCCCAGGGCCTGCTGCACGTTGGGACCGGACAGCGAGGGGGGGGTCCCCTGCCAGTTACCCAAGGAACCAGCCACCCCCGTGGCAGGCCCTGGGCCACATCGAGCTGCAACGGAAGGCCAGGAGGGCTAGAGCTCTGGGCAAAGCCCTGGCTACTTGCAGCCAGCAGAGGGGCTGAGCCACGCTAAGGCCTCCACGCCGATTCCCAGGGCGTCCACAGGCCACGCCGAGCGCTCCGGAGAGCCGGGCTGCCCACTCGGGCCAGATTCCAGCCACGCTCTCTGGCCGTCTTCGCCCCCAGATCCTGCCTGGCCACGGGGGCCAACAGAGCCAGTGTGGACAGAACTAGGCCGTGGCCACTTGGAACCGCTAACCCAGGTCTCCCCGGCCCTCGGGAAGCGACGCTTTACAAGGCCGCGCCGTCAGCCCTCCCTGCACCAGGAATCCCTGCGGAGCAGAACCAGGGAGGGACACGAGGGACACAAGGGACCGGCTCCTCCCGGCCGACCCCCCACACGACTCACGTTGAGCATGGAGGCGTCCCTGCGGAACTCCATCAGGTCCTCGCTCAGCTTGCTCTGGTTCTCGTCCAGCACATCTAGGGCGAGAGACAGCCGGTCCGTCAGCCCCAGGGCCGCCGGGCCGGGCCCCCCTCCCAGGCACGGGCCCAGACACGGATTGTGGGGTTGCGCGGGGAGCGGTGCGGGAAACGCGTCGGTTTCCGTAGGACAGGCTGGGGCTGAATGGACGGCAATGGGAACACCCGGGCTCTGAGCCTCCCTTTGAGTCTTGGCCTACAGCGCACCAACCGGCAAGACCGTCGCTCTTTGTTCCGGAGGGTAAGAAGCAAAGCCTGGAGCCGTTTCTCCAGCCGGCCCTTTTCTCACCCCTCGGGAGCTACCCCGCGAGGGGAAGGACTCTCCCACGCCTGACTGGGCTGGGACAATTCGACCAACGCTTTAACGGCATTGCTGTCCGGGTGTAAAATGTGTGTGCGCAAGTCCGCCTGTACTGGTATGGGGGGGAGGGGAGAGTCTACACAGTCGCGCGTCGCTTGAAATAAGCGACGCAACCTGAGCGATGCAAATGGTGTCGCTTATTTCTAGATTGGGCGCGGTCTAGCGCGATTCTGGCCTCTTCCCCATTCCTTGTGCAGCGAGGTTTACAGGAACCTAACAGGCGGGCGGTTAAGGGGCACAGGGATAGCGGACGTTAGCCCGAAATCGTGCTGCTGTGGACGTACCCAGGAGGCGGTTAAGAGCCAGTGGCCTTTGGGAACGCTTGGGAGGAAGCGGAGTCCTGGTCAACCTGGGTCAGGACTTTCCAACTGGAAGGGGAACGGCTCAGGCTCCGGCCCCGCAAAGCCAAGGAATCCAGGCAGCTCCGGCTGGCCAACCAAGAGGAACCCCTGGTCCCCAGCTAAGCGCTCACTGGGGCGATGAAAGGCCCCGCCCCCGGCCTGGCCACTCACCAAACTTGAGCTCCAGGTTCTTCTCCAGCTGGTCGATCTTCTCGGAGAGCTTGCCCAGCATGGAGCGCAGGAAGGCGATTTCCTGGTCCTTCTGCGCCATGGCCACCTGCATCTCGTGGAAGCGGTCGTCCGTCTGCTGCAGGAACTCCTTCAGCCCCTCGAACTTGCACATCTCCAAGTGCGTCTCGTAGGTGTCCTGGTTCCCTATGAACGTGCACCTGGCGGGCAGGGAGCGAGGGGGCTGGAGCCGGGCTCTGCTGGCAGGGCCTGGTGCTCCCAGGGCCCCGTGCTGGGCATTTCGACAGACACGGGGCGAGGGGTCCCCTGTCCCACCCCTGTGACCTGCCCCAGGCCCAGCTGTGGGGCTGGCCCAG